AGGGAGGTGAGACACCTTTACTCCCACATGCCTACTGAACACAGGGAGGTGAGAAACCTTTACTCCCACATGCCTACTGAACACAGGGAGGTGAGACACCTTTACTCCCACATGCCTACTGAACACAGGGAGGTGAGACACCTTTACTCCCACATGCCTACTGAACACAGACCTTCAGTGGCCATCTGGTTCATACTACAAATCAACCTCCCACGGGCACCACCCTAATATGGTATTAAGATCTGGTACACCTACCACGACAAGAAAATTTGACCCTTAAGGTCACTTAAAAAAATCTGCACATGCATTTAAAGGCAACATTAGTCAGTCGCTTTATGGGAAATTATTTTTGCCTATAGTCTGGTGGCAGATGTCAAATTACGATTAAATTACACAAAAACAGGTAACAGGGTTAAAACCAGAAAGAAGGGGGGAAAAGAATCACTATTCTTTCTCGTAAAAGCAAACTACTTCATTGTCGGTTATCTTAAACATGGGATTTCTATTCAAATCAATGAGGTTAGAGGTCACGCAGCTAGAAGAATAAACATTGTATTTTTAAAAAGGTCTACTTTGACAATACTCCAATATACTCATACGTCTGAATAAGTATCGGAATAGAGAGAGAAAGTACATAAAGTTACCAACTATATACTTACTGCACACCCAGTTGGACAGGTGAGTTAACTACAACACTGACTATAATCTAATCTAATAATCTAATTACCTAGCCCAGAAATGCATACTTTTTGATAACCAAACTACCCCTATCCATAAGGCCGCCAGACAACTGCAGAGCCAAGTACAACAGCAGCACTATTTGTAATCGTGAAGCATCATACAGCCTTTTATTGTGAATTCAAAACTCCTAACTATAATATAAACTACATGCTAACTATATGATATAAAAGCTCTAATACCAATGACGATAACTCAAAACCATGAGGGTCACAATGTCAACAGAGACTGGGTTCCTGAGATTATCCAGCGAAAGTGTCAAGCAGGGTTAGGTCAGCGGGGTAGCAGCAGTTCATACTACAGGTGTTTCACTGCTTAGCAGCTAAAGGATCCGTTTCACGAGCTCATTCGTAATTACTGGTAATTATCCTCACCTACACAGCTACTTTGTATCAGCGATCAAAACGACTTGCATCGGTTTACCTGCTCAGCAAAACTTTACGTGTCAGTCACTAAAGTAACTGAAATTCAAATTTCATATTCAAGACACATAATGGGCGAATGGAATCAAACCACAACAAATCAGCAACGATAGGATATGTCTCAAACTTGAAAAGAACATCTAGACATGCTCAGCATCATCAACACAGACATGTGTATAATTTCTGTGTGGGCTCACAGTTTGCGCCCAGTTACTTAAAACAGCCACATCAACCAGCAAGGAAACACGTTCATCATCCTCTTGCACTTACAGTCGCGACGTCTCAGAAGTACCCAGCAACTTTAATAACGTAACCTAAGAGAAGCAGCAGCTAGCGCTAAGCGTCAGCTAACGGCTAATCCGAAGTCTGCCATCTACCTGCGTCTAGCACTGTATAGCGAGGATGCTAAGGGGAGTATGCTAAGTGAAACTAGTTAGCTTAGCTTGGTACTCACCCCAAAATACCCTCGGAATAATTCCTAACCTTCCACGGCGTGCCTGTGTACCCGCTGCAGCGCCGGACATCGTCTGCCGAAGAGCCGAGCAGCAAACTGCTGTTGAAGCCGAAGGTGCTCGCCTTATTGTCCCGCTTCCTTTTGTTACGACACCCGGGGATGTCGGAGACCCCCCTCCAGACTTGAGTGCATCCACCGCCGCCCACGTCCACCCCACCGCCGCCCCTCCCCGCTGCACGCTTTTGGGAATTATTATTGCTTTCTAACGGAATGAAGTCCCGTTGCTCCAAGATTTCACCATCGGGCCTGGAGGCGGACATTCCCCGTTTCCTCGGCCCACCAGCGTCCGAATCAAAAGCCCTGTTGGCGGCCGTATTGGCGTTGCCCGTTCCTCCGTTGAGTTCGGGACTCCGGCTTGACGCGGTGGAACCGGCGCTGTAGTTGTTGTTGTCGTTGAAATACAGGCTACCCAGACCCTGAGTCGTCTCCCAAATCTGCATCCAAAGGCTGTTGGCAGGTCCGAGCTGTTCTGGCTGAAACCAGGCGATTCTCGGATCCATCAAACGGCGCTGTCCGCTGCCCTCGAGCAAGACTCCGTCCCGTGCGCGTGATTAGCCTAGCAAGCTAACGCAGGCTCCGCTTCGGAGCTACGAGCGTATCCGCATCTTATATTATCCACCACAAGGCATTGACCGCTAAATAACGAAAATAAATAAAATATCCGAAACTGGGGGAGGAGGAGTACGGAAATACAAAAAGCACGCAAATCGTGACAAAAAAGTTCGGTTTCAGTGAGTCGGAGACATGAACGGCACGACCCGGAACATTAGCAGACCGTGAGCCCAATCGACTCCTGCAGCTGGGTCCCTCAATGGCGGAGCGCTGTGACAGTGCACGCACTGCGCAGACTCAGACAGAGCTCAGGGGGCGGGGCGCACAGGGGGGCGACGGTCTTACGCAACGAGGCAATTTTTAAAAACGTGGTTACGTAACATTAATCCATGGTATGTCTGGGTTAAACTGTTTTACTTATGTGAATTGGTTAATCTCATACATCTGTGTCATTCACAGTATAAACATGAGCATGCCTAGTGGTACCGCGCGACTGTATTAAGTACTAATGATGGCATTTTCAAACCGCTTTTATTTTCTTTAAAAAGTCGGCCCATCGTGTTCTTTATGTTAATAGCTGAGACTACCTGGACATATTTCACTGCCACTAAAGCATGCAAACCTTTTATGGCGATGGCTTGGCAACAAACAACAGATGGGGTTGCGAGGAAACAAGGCTTGGTGTCATGCTGCTTGTCTTCCATCCAGGTAGAATTAGGCGTTCTAATGAGAGATCGTATAATGTAAGTTGGATATTATTTGGAGTTTGCCCAGTATCTTGTGGTATTGAAAAAGTGACTAGTCGTATGTCTTTTGGTGTTGTAGAGTAATGTTATGTATCATTATTCTCCTCACACTGTCACGGTCTCCCTGTAATATTACCGAAAAATGTTTTAAACTACGTCCCAGCACCAGAGCACGGTTTTATAGACTTTGACTTGTACACAGATAAAGCAGACGGGCCAGAGATCGAATACGTTCTCAATCTTAGTGACTCAAAGTCCAGTTTCTGTTTGTAATGTTGGCTGTGGATTTTCACTAAATCATGAAACAAACGGTGAAAGAAACTGTTAGAAAACATGGAGGTTGGTTGCAGAATACTGTTTTGTTTTTTAATACAGCACACGTCAGTTTTTGAGAATAATCCATGCATATTAAAATAGAGTAAGAGCGGTTTGCTTTACTCTCAGTCATTAAATTTTAATCTCTGACGTTATCAGCTGGCAGTTTAAACCACACGAGAAGCAACATCAGGAGGAGAGAGAAAATACCTGATGGTAAAATCCACACTTTCCATAAACTGACACTGCTGAGGTCACAGTTTTATTCCACGCCACGTTTTATTCCACACGCACATTCTGTTCACAAAACCACAAAACTCTAACTAAAATAATGGTAAATAATGAATTAATGGCAATAACTTAAACACTTTATTGCATTGAGAAGTATTCCCCTGTAAATTTATTGCAACAATTCCTCTGAGTATTCAACATTTCTTACCACTTATTCAAATAGTTACTGGATAAAAAATAAAGGGTAACACAAAAAAACGTCCCGTCCCCCCTCAAAGCTTTCAGCAAGCCTTTTTAACGAGTTTTTCCTCCGTTAACCCTTTTTGTGAAAAGTGGGGTAACTCATCCCCCCCCTCCGGCTCCGGCTACGCTCCTAGGCAGTGCAGCTTCTCTCCAGCGTCCCCAGGTAGCCGATGAATCTCCGCAGGTTGACCTTGATGTTGTCTAACACACACAGCTGGTCAGGGCTGTATTTTCCTTTGCCCTCCTTGCGCAGCTGCAGGCAAGACGGGGACCAGAGGCAGATGTGAGGAGGCAGCTTTGGATAAACCATGCAGCAGTAATCGGACTTCCATAGGGAACGTGATGTATGTGTACGCTGACAGGACATTTAGCATGTTTTATATCTGACAAGCAGCATGGTCTGCTTTATCTTTTTGCCCTTTGGTTTATACTTAAACATCTACTTTAGATACCATTTATCTAGATGAGAGCTTTAAATAAAAAATAAGACCATAAGAAATTTCCAAACAAGAGGAGGCCATTCGGCCCATCAAGCTCGTTTGGGGAGAATTTAACTAATAGTTTGAAGTTGTTAAAATATTATCTAGCTCTGATTTAATAATAATAGATACTTTTATTGATCCCTGTGGGGAAATTGTCTTTATGCCTCCCTCAACTTGCTCTTTTGTAGAGCAAGCTGTCCATGAAGGGCAGCCACCTGTTTGGGCGCCCAGGGAGCTGGGGGTTAAGGGCTTTGCTCAAGGACCCACAGACGTACTAAGGCTGGGTTTGAACCAGCGACCTTCTGATTACAGACACAAAGGCTTAGCCTGCCGAGCCACACGCTGCCCCATTTTGAACCCAAGACTTTAACTAACACTAAAATTACAATGAGCATTAAAATGTTGCACTTTACAGGGATTTAGACACCAGTGAGCCTAACTGGGGGTTTGTGGACCGCAGGGAGAGTGACTTGGGGAGAACGTGCAAACTCCGCACACAGGGTGGGAGGTCTGAGTATGCCATGTACCTTGGCCTTGAACACTGGCTGCAAGCTCTTTAACGCAGGCAGCAGGCCGATGTTACGTGCAGCTCTCTCTGCCTCCTTTCCATCCGCAAACACGTCAAAGAGGGCGTCCAGGGCCTCCCCACACACCATCATGTTAGGGTCCTTCGACGCCACTTCGAGCAGAGCGTTTCCAATAAGCTGCGGGATTTAAAGAGAAGTCTGGAAACGGCCCAGTGCTGATCCCAAAGCAGAATGCAGCTTGTGATGTCAGCAGGGGTGGGGCCAAAAGGGCACTGGCCCCTGGCTCAAACCCGATTCGCCGTCACAGTGGCCCCTCCCCTGTTTTGCTCCCCTGTTAAGATATCATTGGCTGATGACAAAGTTGTCTTCTCTGTTTGAATTATTACCAGGGATGTACATAACTGGTACACAAGTACACGTTCACCTTAAAAATGATACGTGCAACAATCGTTTGTTGTAACAGCGCAAAAGTATATGTATTTTATGTGCACCTGCACTGCTATGACAAGAACTTATCGTGCATTTTAAGCTTTATACCACAAAAGTATGAGTCAGCATATAAAGGGTAAAATGCACATTAATTTTTTGCCATAGCAGTGCAAATGTATATAAAACAAATATACATTTGCACCATTACAACAATCTATCGCTTTTAAACATAAATGCATACTTGCGTACCAGTTGTGTACATCCCTGATTTTTGCCCTTTTTATACCACCCACCATAAAAAACCTGCGATTGTCCCAGGATGCCGGTACCTGCAGACTGTCCGCCGAATCTGCCTCTCTGGCCAGCATGCTGCCGGTGATTCCCAGGATGGCCATTGCATTGACTCGGACGCTGACTGTGTCACAGTGTGACGCTGCCTCGCTCAGACTCATCAGCTGCTGGGGGCTGACACACTGACAGACAGACAGACAGACAGACAGGTTTACCATAGCTGGAGGTGGCAAACAGCATTTATTCAGTTTACTGATGTTTATTCCCTGCCCCTCTAAGACGATGCCAGGAGTACAGCTGGCCGCACATTTCAAGCAACATCCAGACAAAACCAAATCAAATACGCCGGCGAGAACGCTCTGTTTCGTACTTAAAACAACGCTGTCCCCTCGTTCGTTCCATTTCACGCCAAAACTCTAGAGGGCGCACAATGTTTTTGATGCAGCGGACCCACAAATAGAGCGCATGTTGTGGTTGAATGCCCGAGTCATTTTAATAAAGGAGATGACAGTTCTTTTAAAATGGAAGTTGCTGTCATTATTAACAGTCACTATTGGTTTAATACTAGCAGTGGCACGGACAGGGAAGCAACAATTTATACGACACCTTCAGTTACACCCTAACGAAACACATGCATTCCACGGCAAACATTACACGGTTATGACATTTACAACATAAACATATACATATGAATTTACACTATTTAAAGACACATGTGCTGCGGTGCAAAGCATGCTGGTAACATAATTAGTCCTGCTGACCAATCCCGTGGTGTCACATTATTTCAGCCAATCGTAGACGGTTGGTGGGATCTGTACAAGCGAAAAAGTTTGCGTCGGTCATCACCGAGGTAATAATCGCTCATTCGGCGTTGTGTAGGTTAAATACTTTATTTGAAGTAAATGGCCACCTGAAGGGTTACCATAGCAACACAGGTGGGAGACTTAGGGCTGTAAAAGCTGGAGTTTCAAGCCCCCGGTGAAAAACTGCTTCAGTGAATATTACAAGCTACAGTTTTACGGTCACTTGTGTCACTCGGGGGAGGGACACCGGAGGTCTGCATGCTAATCATTCTCTCACCTGGGGTATGTTCTTGGACGCCATCATCTGCAGCAGTGATCGCAAAGCGCTGATGACCGCTTCCAGGAATTCCTCCTTCGTCGGGATCTCTGGGCGAGGGGACGAGAGGAGCGCGTGGGATCACTCGGGCGGGACGGGAGCACCGCCCCGAGCGAAGGCGTGTGGACGCACGTGCGGCTCTTACCCGGAGTGCTGAAAACCAGCTTGGACAGGTGGTCTGCGAGCGCCCGCAGGCCCGAGGCTCCGCCCAGGGCCTCCATGTCCATGGTAGACAGGATGTTGTGGAGGCAGGTGAGCGCCCGGCACTGCACCCGCTGCATTCTGGGAAAAAGGGCACTCCACTGAAGCAGGCCAATAACATCCTCCTGAAAACATGGGAAACTACAGCAGTTCGAAATTACGTTGAGACCCACCTGTCCAATAAAAACTTATTGTGAACCCAAGGGCTAGCAGTTCCAAATTTATATCCAAAACCAGAAAATGCATAGGTTTACGGTCCTCTCCTTTTAAGAAAGAAATAGCGGCTGGTATCAGAGGATATTTACTTTTTCGTCAGGCTCTTCCAGGCTGGAGTCGTACCACAGACCTCCATGGCAACACTGCTGGGGAACTCAGTCTTCCTGAGAACCTTCAGAATGGGAGCAAAAAGACAGAAATCTTACATTTAGGTACAGAGGGGAAGAAGAGGAGAGAATACTGTGGAGGTGAGGAATAAAGGCAGGAAGACAGGGGGCACGCGGTGAAGCACCTTCTCAGGGATCCTGAAGTTGACCAGCGCACTGTGGACCTCGGCAGACAGGCAGAGGGGGGACAGCAGGCTGGAGTTGCCATCGGCGATGCCGTCAGGGCAGATCTCGCTCTCGTCACTGCTCGAGGTTTCTTCCCATTCATCATCGGAGGGGTCTGCAGGCGCAGAGGCACAAACGTTAACACAACTCCCAGATAGGTCACTGTTGGCCATTCCTCCGCTTCCCGACCGTGGGCCTCACCGTCCGAGCAGCACATGTTGACGATTATCTCCAGCGAGGTTTGCTGAGCCGTCAGCAAGGCACTGGCCTCCCTCAGTTCCACCTCTTTCAGCTGGAAAAAGGCACAAACACATTCACTGACTCGTAGGCCTGAGTCCCATTGGTTTGCTGTAAATTCCTTTAAGTTTAATAAAAGCAAGAAATTGTTTGTAAAATCAAGCACCAAAACATAACTCGTGGCATAGCTGGCTTAATGGTTGGGGAAGCGCACTTGTAATTGAAAGATTGCTGGTTCGAATCCCCGAACACCAAGGCACCTCTGAGGTACCCTGAGCAAGGTACCGCCCCCAAGCACTGCTCCCCGGGCGCTGAATTAGCTGCCCCCTGCTATGTCACATCGTCACATATGGTTTAAATGCAGAGGACACATTTCATTGTTGTGTGCTGTGTGTCAACACTGATCACTAAATTCAAATTCTAAAATAAAAACTTCAATGGGAATTTTTAAAATACCATTCCCACACTGCATTACTGGACTAGGTCCTTTCCTGTGTAGATTTTAATCCCAAATACCCTACGAATCCTCAGTAGTATGTAAAGGTAAGGAGGTGAAAAGCAGTTCTCAATGTTGAAATGCATACTGTTGCAAACACAATAAGAGACTCTGACTGCTCTCCATAAGGTCAGTCCCATACTCCCTAAGGCCACACCCCCAACTCCTCAAAGTGATCCTCCCCACCAGAAAGGGGCAGTACAACTTCAGGATGCATTATTATTTCTTCCAGTGCTGATTACGGTGTATGTGTAAAACAGCTCTTTAACGGGATGGTTAATAGTACAGTCACAGCAGTTGGGATTAGCATCCAATGGACAATAGTAAAGATGGGCGACTCACAGGCTGCAGGTCAGAGAAGTCATCGTCCCTCTTGCAGCTGCTTCTCCCCTTCCGGGCTTTGCAGTCTCCCTCCGCCTCCTCATTTCCCTCCTCCTCCATGTCTTCGGTCCCATCCCTGTCGTCTGCAGCGGCTCCCCCCTCGACAGCAGCTCTGCGCCGGGCCTCTTCAGCCTCCCGCAGCTCTGGGATCAGCGTCCCGGAGTCCAGCTCCAGGGCACCGCCAAGGGTTTCCACGATGGCGCCTAGCGCGTGGGCCTGCCACTCAGAGGGCATGCTGCTCTTCAGGTTCCACATGGTGCCTGGGGGTGGAAGAAAGGCTTGGCTGTTACAGACTCTTCTCATTACCATTTTATATGAACATGTATTAGAAAGATTACGGTCAATATGAAGGGAATTCGTCAGCCTGAGCTCTCCTCACTTTACATTCCATGGTGTTAATCCAGCCCTTCAAGAGCTGAGCCTACAGCTATCCAAGGGGTGAAAGGGGATATCTGAAGCAGCTTACAGTACGGCGAAGAGTTACGATTAAAGTGTGCTCCCCGGGATTTGAACCAATGACCTATGCATTGTTAGTGCAATGCTCTACTTGTTGAGTTATAGGAGCTCAAGGGGAGTAGGAGGAGAGCTGCGTCGGTTCAGGACACCGTACCAGCGACGAGGGTGCGTAGGAGAACATGGGCCATGTCCGTCTGGGGCGACAGCAGCACGGACTCCAGCCCCTGCAGGACTGAAAAGTTCAGGGCACCCAGAAGGTCCGAATTCTCCTCCGTCACAGTTTGCAGGCAGTGAGCTGGACATACACACAAGCACACACACGTGTTAGAGTCCCGGAGCCTCCCGGCACCGTGGAGCTCGGCGTGCGTGTGCGTGTGCGTGTGCGTGTGCGTGACTGACCGGCAGACAGAGCCAGCTCCACGTTGTGTGGGTGTCGAGCCAGACACTGTAGCAGCACGTCCAGCAGCCCGGATTTGTTGAACACAGACATGGCCCGACTGCTGCTCTCACTGAGGGACATGGGGGGCAGACACAACATGCGTTACACCCTGAGGTCAATCTGCTTGCGACAGGCTCATAAGCAGCAGAACTACAGGATTACATTAAATGCAACAAACATAATCCCAGGATGGGAACACTGCTGGACCCCAAAAATCCTGAGCAGCAGGAAATTCCTTTTATGTGCTGTTAGAGGCTAAAAATAAATGAAGCCTACAGCTGCCAGAAATATATAGTACAGAATCTATTCACTGGATTTTTTTTCCATCTGTCCATCCATCCTCTAACCGCTTATCCTGGTCAGGGCATTGGGGCCTGCAGCTTATCTGAGGCAGCATAGAGATACATTTTTTCCCAGTAGATACCACCACTGTCACAATGCTTTGAGAGAGATCCTTTGTTTTTCACCACCTCCGGTGTGGACCAATCAATGTAGAGCAGTTATGATCAGGTGACCGAATGCAGCCAATTCGGTCAGCCCCTTACCAGAGATTCCACAACAAGTGCACGGCTTCGTTGGCCACGTCCTCGACGGAGTGCCGCAGCTCTGTGCGCGGTTCAGCTGGGGCAGGCGAGTCGAAGCCCCCGTGACACTGCAGGCAAACCCGTAGCACTATGTCAGTTTGTGGGTTTTTAAGTTACTAATTTTTTAATTTAGTTTGATTTGGTGATCAGTTGTCATTGTTGACACACCACAGCACAACAACGAAATGTGTGACATCGTGACATAGCAGGGAGCACTAGCCTTTGCCTGAAATCCCATGAAGCCTAAAGCACAATTCCATCGTCCACCCAATGCTTCTCAACTTGCTTACGGTTGTTCAATAGTCATTTATTTTGCTACAAATTAACCCTGCCCAAGGGTACAACAGAAAGAACTTGGAAGAATGATAAGATTTAGAAACACATGATTTTGATTGCAAGTCCACTTCCCCGCCTTTCCTACACCGAATAAACCTTTCTGCTGAAACAGAAGAGTCATATGATCAAACCCGAGCCCACATTAGCAAAGTCATATCGCAAGTTCGATATGAATACAGAAGGTATGGTTTGCTGAAGGGCCTGTAGGCCTCTTACCTCTCTCAGCAGAGCCGCAAGTGGCGTTAGCACGTCCTGCTTCACCATGTCGTCACACACCTCAAAGCCTCCACAGGCGCTGAGATTCCTGCCACGGGAAGAAAGGGAACCGTCAACGTGTTTTCACACAAGGGCAAACAGCAACTGCATTCAAGTGCATTTCTTCTGTTATTTGCTAGAAATGAATCCCAACACAAATGTTTTAAGGCTTTGCCCAGAATAGTGGCATTACCCCAGTCTCCATCTCGAACCACACACACAATCCAGTCAGTGTGGAAAATTGTTCATTGCTCAAAGTCATTTGTTGATGTTACAAGTGTCACTCAAGATTTATTTAAAGACATGCTAAATCAGCAGGTGGGTGGGATTTTCATGTGCTGCCAATTACTGTCTTTCGACTTCCCATTGGTCACTTTATTCGCTTCCCATTGGATTAAGCCAAACTTTGACTGACAGCACATGGGAAATCCGGCCCATCATGCATTTCAACATCTCTATCACTGAAATAGCAGTGCAGTTCCTAAAGGTCTAATGTTTACCCACCTGAGAGCCCCGGCTGCAGTCTCCCTCACAGCCAGGCTGCGGTCCAGCAGTAGGGGCCCCAGGCACCGTATGGCGTCCCGCTGCAGGAAGGCCGGGATTACCTGCCTTAGCTGCACCATCTGCGAGATGCTGGCACAGGCATACTCCCGCACATCTGCACTGGGGCTCTGCAGCTGCACACAAAATGCCAATCACAGTGCAGCCTGCATCAGGCGTGTCCACTCCTCATACTTGCACGCGTGTGCAGATTTTCTTTCCAGCTAAGCACATAGGAAACGGATTCAGCCTCCTCTTTTGGTATAGAGCTGCTAGAGTTGGATGCTCTACAACCGGAGTCTCTAACTCTGGGACCTTCAAGGTGATATACTTTGCTGTGGTGGCTGTGTGAGTATGCACATCATGCCCTGGTCCTTGCGCTGTCTCAGGTTATTATACTGTACAAGGCCACACCCAAATACAAACAACCTAGGTGTGTGGCATGAAAATATCATTATTCTATAAGCAATTTAGGCCAGTGGTTCCCAACCCAGTCCTCAGGGACCACATAGTCCACATTTCTGCTCCTTCTCAGCTCCCAGACAATGAAGAACACCAAACACCTGGTACAGGTGTTGGGAGCTGGGAGGGAGCAAAAATGTGGACTGTCTGGGGTCCCTGATGACTGGGTTGGGAACCTCTGAGCCAAGCAACTCCAGTTGTCCATTTTGGATAGAGATTTTATATTTTATATTTTATAGGTTAAAGTCAAACCTTCAAACCTTTTTTACTTAAAGCTTTCTTAGATGGTACAGAGCTGCTACAACTCTTTATCTTGCCAGTTACTGATTGCTAGGTTGTATGAACCCTGACATGGACTAGCAGCCATCCAGGGTATTCCCATGCCTTGTGCCACCAGACTACCCACAATGCCCTGTACTATAACTGTGACTGGAAGATAGACGGAAGGGATGATGGATTGATTGATTGATTGATTGATTGATGAATGCACTGTTACCGAATTTGTGCCGTTCATACAGTCAAAAGCAAAGAAATAAAAAATACGGTTTATTTTATGCTGCATCTATGAACGAAATTCCTATTTGAGATAGTAGTTCCTATTATCGTTGTGAGAATTACAATGTATATCCAAAGTAGTATTCTGTAATGGCTCAATGAAGGATTAGTAGAAGACACTTGGCACTGGTTCCCCCACGATAACAGCCTTATAAATTGCTGTCAGCATGTTATTTACATTATGCTGTAGACCGCTAGAAATTAGGAATACAGGAATTTTAAAGCTGATTTTATTTCTAAGTATTTTTGTATGGGTACGAACATTTAAAATGTCCGTGTGTTTTATTATGATTTCTCAAAAAGCGTGAAATGATAACGAATGAAATTATAGTCTGGCAGGCTTAATGATCAACCATTTAATCACAGGTTTTATTTCCTGACGAGAAGTTACATGGACAGCGAACAGATGTTAGCTATTGCATGCTGAAATACACATGTTCATCTTAACGTTAATTAAGATTGGGTGGAGGGGGACCATCAGATAACTCGACGGGAGTTAATATGAACATTATGACATTAAATCTTACTTTTTCGAGCATCTCACCGGCTGGAGAATCAACACATTCATCTTCAGTTTCCTTTACAACAGTTACTGGCAGCCCGTCAGCCGAAAATTGAGGACGCTTAAATTTTTTGTTCTTGCTTTTACCCATAATATACAATTAACGAGCGAGTCACCGGTGAAGACAAACCGCCTAGTGTTATTCAGCCTCATATGCAAACCGAGTTAGTTCATAAATACTATTACTCCAAAGTCCTGTATGCGCTTCTCGCCATGTGGAAGTGAACCGGCATGGACCGTAAATGGAATCGCAAGACCGTAAAGCTGGCTGTCGTAAAGGCTTAGATCAAAAAGTCAGTTGAATCGTTTCGCTGTGACTTCTGTGTTCTTGACATTTACATGTAAATAATTATATGTAATGTGGGGTTTCCTGATGTTCACGTGCGTTCTATTTCTTTTTAATTAGGTTATTAACTAAATGAGAGATTTTAAAAATGGAAACTAGCCTATGATTTTCAACTGACACATTCCATCGCTTCCACGTTTCAGTTATGGGTCATATGCTTCACTTAAGGGAAACCTCGACGTTCATAAATTTAAAGATTAACTTTCAATCCAAGTTCAGGATGGAATGAGAAGGCATGTTTTATGTAGACAACATGCAAACCCCTGAGCAGTAGGTGGCAGCATGCGCCATTTTTTAAAAATAAATTCTGCCAAAAATAAAGGTAGCGAACTACTTTGCACTACTCCACTGCAGTAGGGGGCGGTGTTATTCTTCCGATTCCAGTTTTATTCTGAAATTACCGAAGTAGAATGTTCTCATAGAGCAAGTAAACGTGTGTGATGAGTGTATTTTGTCATTGACTGAAAACTGTCAAATTAAAAATTGAATTCAGTCGTTATTTTAAAATAACTAGAAATGGCTAGTGACTGCCCACTGAAGTTGTCAAAAAATCTACTTCGGATGAAGGTGGGTGAAAATATTTTACAATGTAGCTAGTTAGATACTTTAGGAGCCTTGCTTCAGTTACTTTCTCAACGAAGCGTTATTTTGTCTAGTTGTGTATGATTTGCCTTTTTATCTAATAAAATATTTAAAGCGGCATGCCTTTGACTTTCGCAGCCTGTTAGGCGCTTGTTACGTTATAGCGAGATGGTTCTATTTATATTTATATTTATATCCCCAGTTTATGCAGCGGGGCCTTGATGCTGAGGTCAAGAAGCAATTGGAAGAAGAAGAAAAGAGGATAATCAGCGATGAACATTGGTACCTGGACCTTCCAGAGCTGAAAGCTAAGGAGTAAGAATGTTAATAATCACTGATCATTTTTTTTTTTATTTAATTACTTGTACAAGCAAGTTCTCACAACACGTTGATCTTTGTAGGAGTTTTATCATAGAAGAAAGAAGCTTTGTACCCTGTGAAGACTTGAGGTTTGGAAGAATGTCATTCAAAGGCTTCAATCCTGAAGTTGAGGTAACAAAATAATCAGAATATGATTTGAAATATGTATAAAGGCATTTATGTATGAGTCCTGCAGATTACATTTTAGAACAACTGATTCTTTTAAAATATAAAACAGCATCCACCTAACTGACTTTATATGAGTGTTATTATATGTAAACTGCCTTCTGTTACACCAGTGTTTCCCAGCTCGGTACAGTGGTACCCCCAGTCCTCCCTAAGGAGCTGGGTCCCCAAGAACTGGGTTTAATAACTCAATTGCCATAGGAATTTTCAAATGATATTTTAAAAGGTGTATTTCATAATTTGATATGAATATTCCCAGTACTGTGATGGGGAGTTAAATTCCTGTATCAGCAGTATGTCGTATATTCAGTGTAATGATGAGTATGTATGTACAACTCAAGTGATTGAGCACTTGGAGTTCTTTGTTATATTTAAGCAGTAACGTGCCACATAGAAAACGAAAAAGTACAGAATGTCAATTAAGATAAAATTAAGGAACGGAGTGACAAACATCAATTGTAATGAAAGTAAATCATTACAAATCTTAAACTTGTGAAAGTATAACCTTTTATAGTGATTATAGCTCAACAAAGTCTTGGTATTCTATTAATTAAAGATGGCATTTTTCTTAAAAAAAAAAAAAAAAAGTTCACTCCATCACTGCCAGAGAAGCATCCAGAAATGATGTGTGAAGCTGGCTGTGTATCCTAGGCTATTACATCATACTTCATAACACATCTGGGTTGTTATGGTGCTATGTCAGGTGACTCTGCAGCCATGTCATCACTTACAACTTTCCTTCATCATCTTTCTTCTTCAGAAAATTCTGACTGGGTATTTCACATTGAATTTATAGGGTGTTCAAAGTCTTTTGACTAGTAGTTTATTTGTGGGGTTTTTTTCCTCATTTGTGTTCAGAAACTCATGCAGTTGATGAATGCACACAACCGGAATGAAGATGAGGATGAAGAGGAGGACTTCAGCAGAATGGAAACTGACATTACAGATGAAGAAATGGCAAACAGGTGCAGAAAGAGATTTTAATCCTATTCAGCTACTCTGTTTACGGGGGGTGTTTCCGCATTAATACAAACTGGTTTTCATTGGCTGCCGGCCTGATTGCATCAGTTGTGCCTTTATGTCCCATTAAGACTTTCTCTGTGCTGGTTACTGCTTTGTCCCTCCCGTTCAAGCACGCTGTGTACTTTCTTCAACCCCACAGATACGTCAGCTTGGTGGAGAGCATGAAAAGAAAATTTGCAAGGAAACGAGAGCGGTCAGCCATTCAGGAGGAGGAGGAAGTTAGCAAGGAAATAGGACCAACCAAAAAGGCCTTTTTAAAGCCGCAAGATTAGCAATCTGTCCAGCCAATGTTTTTCAACTACCAGAACCATTTTTGCCGCTGCCAGTCATTTAATGTGGCCGTGGGGAATTAGGTATTTGCAGTTGCATGTTTATCACTTTATTGTAAATGAGTTCTTATGAAAGATGTTTAATGGATGTTATACATCTTAATGACTTAATGTCATATAGCTTAGGTTAAAATATTCAAATCACATTTTGTTGTTGTAGTTTTTTTTTTCTTTTTCTGTGTGGACCCTGTTACATGAGTCCCAGTTTAGCTAATCCTGAATTTTCACATTTGAACTTAAGCTGAAGTTTTTGTTTTTATTGTGGAATGGAGTTACTCACCTCCCATCCAGGCTGTTTCCCTGTCTGGTGCCCTAATCTGGGATAGGCTTCAGGAATCACCATCAGACTACTGGATACGATGTTGGAGGCTGGTTGCTCAGCTTTATGTGTTAAATCTGAGTCTTATTTGTCATTTTATCGGAAACAAAGCTGGTTTTGTAAAACTGTGTGATACTTGACATGACATGTGTGCGCATGCATGCGCATGCATGCGCATGCATGTGTCCTGAGATGGACTGGTATCTAGTTCAGAGTACCTCCCCTGCCTCGTACTATGAACTACCTAAGATAGGCTTCACACCCCTTGCCACCTTGACATGGATGGATGGATGGATGGATGGATGAATGAGAGAGAGAGATGTACACTTTGGGACGTTTTGTGAAACCAATGTGGGGGGGAAAAAGTTTACCTTTGTTTTTTGATAAAAAATGTCTTTTAAACCGTATAATAAAAAAAACAAGGGGAAAAGCTTATCCACTGTGATATTTAATATTTTCTCTTAGTGTCTATGAAAATCCGTTGCCTTAAATGGTGGTTATTGGACTGTGTGAAATGGATTAGGTCATCTCCCAAACACACTATATCTTACACATCACCTTATATCTGTTCTTCAATCAAACTAAGTACATCTCTACACAAATTATTTTAGTACAAATGCCCAGTAAATCAAAAAAATTAAGGAATAGTTAGAATTAGTCCTTTTTTCAAGCTTTGTTTCTGTGAGCTTCAATGAAGCGGTTGGGTGGCAAGTGATTGTGCTACAGACTGTGCCTTGAATTTTGGATCCTTAGAGTGTATATGCAGCCTTGTTGTTTAAAGGAACAAGTCTTTTTTCTAACAAGAGATTAAACTTGTCTTTCAAAACTGTTTCCACTTCTTCTTTCGGTATATTTTCAATGTTGAATAGATCAGCACCTTCCTCATAGTTATAGGTGACCTCAGTGTAGGTCCAGCCAATGAGAGCATGGAACCCAGTGGGTGTCTGTAGGGAGCAGATGGACTTTTGCACAAATAATGACTCTGGGGAGGTCTGGAGGAATTGGATGGTCTCCATAAAGTGTTCAGGCTGACGTGGTGCCAAGGTGAACCCATAGATTTTTTTTGTGATGCTTTTATTCAACAGGTCAGACTTGGCAAATGCTTCATTTGGAATTATTTGCTTTCTACTCGTTTTCTGCAAAACCCACATTCCGTCGGCCTTTATTAAGCGGAAGACTCCGGGCAGCTGTGGCTGGTCCTTATCCACCGTAAGCTCAAGGGGCTGCCAGATCTGACCAGACACCCCGAAGCTAACGTCGGCAATGTATGACACACCATCGATGTCAATTTTATTGATGAAGTGGCTCTCCCTGGGATTGTACTGGTTCAGAAAGTTGTTGAAGACCCTCGACCCCAAAACTGTGTTGTTGTAGCCCAGCTCCTTCAGCACCCAGGAAAAGAGATAGTTGTTCTCACAGCACCAGCCTCCACGGTTCTTCCTTATAATCTTGTCATAGATAACGGCCAGGTCCATGGTGATCTTCTCTCCACAGTGTATGCTGAGATTCTCAAAAGGGATGGAATCTACATGCAGCTTGTGGATCTGGTTCAGGGTCTCCAGGTCGGCTTTTTGAAAGGGGCCTTTATACCCAATCCGCTGCAAGTAATCTGCCACATTCATTCTATCCTGTGAAAGACAAATGAGTGATGTTCTCAAGCATTTTTCAGCATTGGGCCTCCTTTTCTGTCTGAAAACTGGTTTTACTTTTTCAGTCCTGCTAACATTCATAATAATTGAGAATAATTACAGATAGACAGATACTTCAGTTCTTTATTCAATATTATCAATAGATCATTGTTAAAATAATTTAAATTATTAAATAGTTTAATGTAGTGCCTCTCCATACACGGACAAATTTGTCTGTGGAAAATATTTTGATTGTGGAAAAACAACTGTTGCCTGTGTTTTTAAACACAATTTCTGTGGTACAAAACATTTTGATCAAAATATCTGTCAAAATTACTCCTGAACCCTGATCTAGCTAAAGCGGCGTATTCAGTTAATTTAATAGGAACCAAGATGGAATGATAACCATGAAGCACCATCTTCAGCCATGTCCACCATCGTGGACAACGACTGCTCTCCAAGTTGTGCATGTAGACTAATGATGTGAGTGACGCGTAAATTTATATGAACTATACACACACGTCCACCTGTTACCAATGCTGCTTCGCTCCTCGACTATGGCCAATGAGAGCCAGTGAAGCATGTAAGGGCGTGCGGTAAGCGAGCATATGATTGGCTGGAAACTAAACTTCGGATGTATATGCAGACCGATGGATCGCGAGCATGTGCCAGTTCAACTCGGTCACTGGTTCGGGAATCTCGTCCTCCTTGTTGAGGAATTGTACACCATCTACTGGTGTATTATATAGCCTACACGTGCAGTGGCATACCATATGCTGCAACTGGATTTTAGAGAAGCAACATTTTCACGATTTAGGAGATTGCAACCCTGGTCTGTTAGCGTTTGGACTCGTCAGCTGACTGTGCGATGAGCTGTTAGGTTCACGTTTTAAATACGCATGAGTATAGCAAAGGAACAATGTTACAAGGACTTGACAGTTCATTAACAAATCACACGACTTCCTGGTGGTTTTTAACTTACTCTTTAGCACTGTTTATTCTAAATAATACGCTACTTTGACATGTCGGAACACAAGTGTGTCAGATCTATTTTATGCAATCAGGAAGTGCCACGAAGGAGTTGGTGAGAACAAATCTTTTAAGTGAACTGAATCAAACGAACGGTGTCCCAAAAACAGTAATTTTGCCCTTCCTTATTGTAGACCTGGTCTCTGACCATTAATTATTATAGACATCAATAGACAAATAACAAACACAAACGTGATTGTTGTAGTTTTATTATTTTTACATCGGCCTATAGTATTAAATTGTTAAGCCCGTGGTTTAATTACGTAAGTAAAATTAAAAGTAACTCTGATACCAAATAAAGTCGACTGTAGATCCTATTTAACGTCCGGTATAATCAAATCGAAAGTGAATAGAATTCTTCACTAGCTAAATTTTTCAAGTTTTCGTGCTATTCATATTCATATCATCTGGCATCGTGTCCAAGGCAAAGACCAATGGCTTAAATGAAAAACCGCTTAAAATTTAGGTACGAGTTGTGGGCACAGATCCACACATGTTTACCACTCGTGACATGAATTTCAAGTAATGTAAGTTGTTTAAAGATATAAATATTTCTTAAGATTAATGCATTAATACATATTTTATTTAATACTGTCGGACAAGCAGGTACAGAAAATGCAGGGATGGATCTTTTAAGGTAGCTTATTCTAGTATTACGTTATATACCACATACAGTTAAAAAAACACTGCAACTCCTTCTTTTAATGTGTATTAGGCTCGGTAGACTACTTGCAAACTATATATGAAAGTGCGTATGTTTCCTGTTTATCAACTTACCATTTACAGTCCGGGACGATTTGATACTGTTGCTGATCAGCCGGAAAAATGGTAGAAGTAAGAAAAAAAAATGTGGGTGGGGTTTCTTGGATTATGCAAAAGACAGAAAGTAGACAGACAGACACACAGACAGACAGACAGACAGATAGATAGATAGATAGATAGATAGATAGATAGATAGATAGATAGATAGATAGATAGATAGATAGATAGATAGATAGATAGATGAACAAACAAACAAGCAAATCAATAGACATGACAAAATAAAAGGGATATAAATTCCTCTGTGTGTGACTCAGAGGACCTGTTTTCCATTTTACATGAATAGCATATCCAAGCCCCAGCAAAGAATTTTTATTCACCTTTTGCATGTTATTTTCTAGTCTAATAGAGAGTTATGCAAAGGCAGTTAACACATATTTGTGAATATTTATTAATACATATTGGTTATGCATTACTATTTTATCGTTGCATTCAAATGTAGTCAAATTGAAATGAAAATATACAGTATGTCATTTAAAAAATAAAAAATCACAGATTAAAATTAGATTGAAAATAATATGTTGGGTGATGACTGTCACTTATGTTTAGAACAGTGATAGTGAGAAATGAGACTTTTATATGTGTCCGTATTGGGTGGGATGACCATGTGTTATCTCATTATCCACTGGTTACCTTATTAGTTTCTGTTATGTCAAACCAAGCAGCAGCTGTTTTCTGTTCATTATTAACGTTTCAGAATTATATGTTTTACAATGCAAACCCATGATGGGCAATGGCTGAAGCTGCATCCCATTTCTCATATGCATAATCTTTAACAACCTTGGATCAGCTAAACATCAGTGTAAGACTCACCAAAGTTTGGATGGGCTGGACATTAGGATTTAGAACATGGAAGGTTTAAATTAAAGCTAAGGTAAAGGTGAGGGAATCTGTGCCTTTGTTGAGAAGATTTGAATCCCATGGCAGGCAGAGTAAACATATCACTGTTGGATGCAGATTCAGGGGGCTTGACCCTTGACCTGGGCCTCCAAGAGCCAAGCTGTACTGAGAAAAAAAAATGGCGTTCCATTGTAAATTATGCGAGCCATACCCAAGCCATACCCACGCCGACATGGCCCTGCTTACTAGAAGAGCCAAACGCATGACAAACCTGAGCTGAATGCATCACCACCATCTCAATGTGTAGAGATACCAGCAATCTACACCAGTATGCATGGATTATCTGAAGGGGAAAAGGACATTACTAGTAGTGTCATTATTCATTAGTAGTAGTATTGCACATCACGATATATTGATGCATTCCCGATAACTCAGAGCTTGAAAATTTAACAACTTTTTAAAAATGTACTAGTGAATGGCTGAACAGAACAGATTTGTAATGCAAATTCACGCAAGCAAATGCTAATCCTGATGATGCTAACATAACATGGCAATTCTCACAAACGTGCTAGTGGAAATTAGCACATATTAAATCACGATGTACACCATATGAATAGTTAATAAGAATCTCTTTGGTTTTACGTCACTGTTGCTCTCCAAACCCGGCAACGCTCATACTGAACCGATCCTTCTGCAGTGGAAAATTAAAGCCAGCTGCTCTATAACTTGGTTCTTAGTGGCAGTGGAATAGTGCCATAAGTACACCCACTGATGACCTTTGACCCCCCCAAAACTACTCTTGCAGAGCTGCAAGATAAATGGCTAACACTTCACTCTCACTTGTGTTTTGGTCTTGTAGGAGAGCAAAATGAGATATGCAAAAATCAAAGCATTTCTACTTACCTGTACTTGTAAAAGTGGCACATAATTTAAATAAGTTATCCAATTTGTTTGGAGTGGTGGGGATCAAAAGCGTAACACGGTCTTGGTTGCTGAGAGTAGTGTGTTATACCACGTGAAAGCAATTACAGGTGAACAGAGTCCATCACCTGATATCACTCGAGAAGATCCATTGGTAATCCATCTGCAATATCCACTTTATATACAGTATGTATGTATGTATGTATGTATGTATGTATGTAAAATACGTAACTTGATTTCCACTTGGTGCAATGACTCTATATGTATCATTCATCTATGCCACTACCCACATCACATGTGCAATACGTGTAATTCTATGCACAAATTTTTCATAGTTTTGTTGTAATGTCATTTGGTTTGTCTTTCTATTGCTATTCTATTTTAGGCTGTTGCAACAAGGATATGTTCATGATGTGGGATTGTTATCTTATCCTCCGTTTTTACATCGACGTGATTGCGTTGTTAGGTGTTATGGCAGGGCAAAGGACGGACAATCCACACTGTGGCTCACAGAGACACAATTTTATTAACTCAGAGAGAAGACAAGAAACATTTCCCATAAAATGATTGTTAAGCTTTCGAACAGCTTGCTCACTCATTGCAGAAAATGTAAGCCGATATCTGCAGACGCCTGCTGTGTGATTCATCTCCGGAGTTTTCTAACCAAAACCATCAAATTAAGTGGCACAATTACCTCGTTTGAAAACGAATAAGCTGCCATTTGTGAGTGTCAAGCGGTTTTTGTAATATATGCTCTGAACATGTTTACCGTAATTAACCTTATGTAGGGACATCAAATTTGAGCGGCAGTTTTTTTATGCAATCAGCGGCATGTACAACTGTTCAGTATGGTAAGCAGGGTGATGATTGGGCAGTTTACCGACTGGGACTTAAACGGAAAAGTTTTTTCTCTGGGCACAGAAGTTCAATCATTATATATATATATATATATATATATATAAAATGAGAAAAGAGTAAAACGCAATAACTGGAAACATCATCTTCGTGTACAAAAATGTCCACCCCCATTACACCAATAGGTGCCTCACTTTCTTCCCCCGAACCAATTTCTCTCATCTTCCGAGCTTCCTCGATACTGAATGTCTTCATAGCCAAATTATTTTACAGATCGATTTTTAAAACTTTCAAAACAAACAAAAAAACTGACCGAAACTGGCCAGAACTAAAACCGTAAAACACGCCAGAAGTGCGCCAGTCACATCATAGCAATCTTGGATAGGTTAGGGATAGATATGGCACACCAGGGCACGAAGGTGCGTCATTTACTTTTTCCTAGTTCTCATAAAATCATGTCAAATTGGTTGCATTTGTAGAAACCAAGTTGGGAAACCACATATTTATAATTGGAAGCAATCCATCCTGTAGTTCTTGAGATATTCACAAAATACCGAAGAACAAAGATTTGTTTTTGTATTTGTTAAACTTAAAAAAAAAAATCCCCTGTCAGACTATACAGAAATTATGAATTTCAATTATACAAGTTACTGCAATTAATGGTACAGTGCTCAGACATGTGTCTCTGACTTTCACATTTGAAGAATAAGAAATATAAGCAGTGTAGTTTTATGGACAGTTTTGATGTTGTTAGTAGCCTATAGGGTTGGGTGGTATTAAGTTAATATGGCATACCACGATAGGCCTATTTTAAAATATGAAATCCTTACGAGAAAATTAGCTGGGACCCAACCCCCTAGCATGGCAAATTTTATCAGCAAGTTTTTAAAATGTTGGAATAGTGCTGTAAAACCTCATTATAAAGTCTGGATAGTATGAAAAATTAGATATGTGTGTACTGTACCTCCTACCATCCAAATACAGCCGCTCAAATTAAAAAGAGGAAATGATTTACTAAAATGTGCCCACGATTTAACTAAAATGAGGGAACTAATTAATAAGACAATGCCACAATTTAACTAAAATGAGTGAATTAGTTAAATGTGGCCATGATATATACATTTTTTATCTTTATGTTATTAGCAGGGCACTGTAAATTAGTGTCATAAGAGTGAAAAGGTGAGAGTAATGTATTTTTGTTCGCCTGATGAGATGATCCAATAGCATGGTAGACACAATAAATAACTCGTGTTGTAGGCCTACTTAGATAACTGCCTTTGAAAATGTTAAGCATAATTTAAACTGAAATTTAAATTAAAACACTGCGATACTGAGAATGAGCATGCACACAAAAGGCGGGAGAATTTCAGCACAATATCATTCACAAAAGATCTGTCGATAGTTTCCACCCGCTTTTCCAAGTGAATGCTGCAGTGATATAATGAATTCGAGAAAACTTGGAAAGTAAACGGCGTATCACCAAAATATCTCAGTATGGCAAAATGGTTGAGAAATGCATTTTAATGTGGCGGATGGCTTGGGAGAGCCTGATTATTGGTCTGCGTGAAATGGATTTGATGTTATTAACAAGTAAAGTGCCTTCCACATTGTCCTCATTGCAAATTTGAGATACATAATGTAAGACATTAATACAACTACTTAGAACACTGAAAAAATAGTCATCCGTCCCTGCTCACTAACGCAACACTTTACCATGAAATGTGATGATTAAAAACCTTCAAAAACCTTATATTTCTGTACTGTCGTGTGGCAGGTTTTCCCGTTTACGCTTTAAATACATTTTGCTATAATAGAGATAGCTAAAATACACATTTTAGTCATGTCCCCAGGTTGTCACTCAGTTCTGTTACCCAAATTATTTCTTAAGTTTTACTTATCTATTTATAAAAATACATTTTTGGTAAGATACTTGAACATGTATAATTAGCCTTGATGACATGTGGCTGTCGTTCAAAAAACTTACCAAGTGGGAGCAATTAGAAGCTTAATTTACAAAATTGATGTACGGATCAAACCTAATTTAATGATAAAACTTAGTCCTGTTACTTCCAGTCTTTTTACTCATATAAAGAGAAAAGTACAACTTGCACGCAGCTACGGTGAGTTTTTTTTAACAGTATATATAGTTTTTTGAACAATTAGTGTATAAAAGGTTTCTTAGTGTTCAAAAGAACATGTC